GTTTTTTCTTTCTTTTTTTTTTTTTTGGAGAGGTTTTCGCTATAGGGCGTGTGCACTTGCCAGAAAGACAGAGAGAGACAGAGAGATAGAAAGCAAGAAGTCACCCCTCAGGGAGGATGGCCACGCCTCAATCCCTTCTCCTCCATTCTCCTCTCAGGATCTTGGGCACACATGCACACGCGCCCGGCCTGAGTTTAAGCCACCGGGTCCGCGACTCAAACTGCGGTCGACTACATGGGAGTCCAGCGACATAGCTTTTACGCTAACTGCTGGTCCCACAATGTATTCTTAATAGATACTTGAGAGAAGGAAAAATGCCTGGAAAAATAATGGGCTTGGCGGAGACCACACAGCTGACAACTGGGTTACTGGGCCTGCACCTGCCTCTGATGTCTGCAGCATTCTTCTCAACCCTTCTCGGATATGTATACGTGGAGTCTCACCTCAGAGAACGCACACACGTGGGCACGTACTCCCGCAAGTTCAACGAGGACACCCTCAGTAAGGAGCCCTATTCGACATCACACCCTTCGACCCTGTGAGAACAACCATCTGTCCCCATCACGCAGGGAAAGACACAGGGAAGCAAGCTCTGACCCGGGGCGAGTCGAGTCAGGACTGCGGATACCTTTCCGTCCTTGATTGTGGCGAAACACGCGGCCTCGATCTTCCCGGCGTGGTCAAAGAGGCCCATGTGGCGCAGCATCATGACGGCGCTGAGCAGGAGGGCTGTGGGGTTGGCCATGTCCTTGCCCGCGATGTCCGGGGCAGTCCCGTGAACCTGTGCGTTGGGGAAGGTGGCATCGGCACGAGGGAGACAGCGACCAGCCCCTCCTGGGGAGGCTGGGGCCAGTCACCTCCCCTGACCATTAGTAAGCCTCGACCCACAGCTACTGCATGTGCGTCCTCTGGCAGAGATGTGAGAAAGCGGACCTCGGGTAACTGAAGCGCTAAAGCACATCTTTTTTCTTTTTAAAGAACTACTCATTTTATTTATCCATTCGATTTTAATTTGACCAGAGAGAGACAGAAAGAAAGAGAGAGAGGGAGAGTGATAAAGCGACCCACCAGGTCCGAGATTCGAACCGTGGTCACCCATGTGGGAGTGTCTAGTGCCTTAACCACCATGTCACCTGCTGGGCCGAAAGCACATCTTTTATAAGTATGAAATACAACCTTTTCTGGGTAACTTCTGGAAAATATTTAAAGTTAGGAAGGATACAGAATAAAGAAATATTCACAGGGAAATGAACAAACCACCCAAGGCTATATCCAGTACAAAGCATCCTTTCCCTTCGACACTTTGAAAAACTCAAGAGTTGAAACAAAATTATTAGGGGCAGGTGGGTGGCACTGTGGTACCACAACTGCACCCACATGGGCAGGTGCCCGGTTGGCATCCCAGAGCCTCACCCTACCCACTGGCATGCACTGTGTGCCCGTGATGCGTGCTTGTTAGGGTGGGAGTGGGCTGTAGTGGGAGGCCCTGCTGGGGCTGGCTCTCTCTCTCTCAGAAGGAACAGATGGACAGATGTTCAAACCAAACAAACAAGACACCACATTGATACGGATAATGCTTCCTGGCTTGTCACCGCTCTGAGCCAACCCCTCTGGGTCCCGGTGTCCTTACCGACTCAAAGATTGCAACTCCGTTGGCTCCAATGTTGCCACTTGGTGTCACACCGAGACCTCCGATCAATCCTGCACACAGGTCACTGGGAGCAGAAAAGCATTTCAAAGGATGTGTTCAAAAATAAAACACCTCACCCAGCATCCAGATTTTAGTGTTTAAATACCACCATCCACTAAGGAAGCAGCGCTCCCCAGAGGCAAGGACAGGAAAGCGCAGTCAAGCCTGGAGCAGTGAGCACTGTGCCAGAAAGCCAGGCATGCCGAAGGATGGAGGGCTGGGTCAGAGGGACGCCCCATGGGCCCAGTCAGCTTGAGCAGCCACATAAACGATGACCATGACGGAGACACCACTGAATGAAATGGACCGTGAGCCGCGTGGATATAAATAAGTAAGCAACCGCGGAGGAAAAGCTCATCCTCAGAACGCCAGTGCATAAACGCAGAAGGAAAGATGGCTTAGAAAACCACCACGTGGCCAGCGTGCCCTGTGTGTGTGGGGGCGAGTGAGAGAGAGAGACTGGGACGGAGGAGGGGGAAGGAGGGAGGGAGAGGAAGGGGAAGAGTTCTAACATAAGCAGGGAAAATGTGCACATCTGCGGACTCTGAGTACAGGGGAATTCTGGGGGTCATTCTTGCAACTTTTCTGTAAGCCTGAAATCGTGTCAAAACTTACCAAAACTTGTGAAAATGACCACCACCTCCCTAGCTCTACATAACCAACCACCCCAAGATGGATCAATCAATCAAACACCTGAAAACAGGAAGGCTGAACTAATGACCGGGGACAACAGCCCAGCACGGATCTGGCAAATGAACCAACAAGCCACCCAGCATGTCGTCCCTGTGATCACCTCCACATCGCTCAGACCTCAACGCCTCTCTTAGGACAAGTGCTCTATTTTATAGAACGGGCTGAAAATTGCAGCAGGCTTAAACTACGGGCTGAGATAGAAAGGGTGTAGACTCACCTAAGGATGTCCCCGTATAAATTTGGCATAACAAGAACATCAAATTGGGATGGGTCTTGTACCATCTGCAAGGAAGACGTTTGCGTTAGGAATCAAAAACTGCGCTCTACGTACACACACCATTGCCAGAAAAAGTCGCAGTTAAGTGTGAATACATACTCACATTCAGACACACCGTGTCAAGGTACATCTCATTAAATTTAATATCTTTACAGTTTTCTGCAACTTCTCTGCATTTCTGCAGAAAAAGTCCATCTGACATCCGCCTGTATTTAAGCAAATAAAAGCAGTTGAGAACAGAGGCTTACAAAAAGAAAAGGATCAAATTCAAGACGTAAAGGAAGTTCAAGAAATTTAGGTTCTGGAAGCCAAGATGTCTGATTTCAATAACAGTAAAATTATTTCTGACCAATAAGGGTGAAATTATTTTAATAAAATACAAGGTGAAAATGTTTTAGAATCCTGGAAGCACAGAAGAATAAAAATGTAAAACAGCTTGATCATAATAGAAATGGCTTTATTTTTACAGTATTTTCCATCATGAACTAAGAAATATCCATTAATATCATTAATGTTGCTTTAAAAGCTTACCTAGTATTTACATGATTTTACTATTTTACATGTTCTACACTCTTTTCAAAGAATTATTTAATTTAATTTAATTGTTATTATTATTATTACTACTATTATCTTTTAATTTGACCAGAGAGAGAAAGTGAAAAAGCAAGTCACTAGGTCCAGGACTTGAACCATGGTCAGCCATGTGGGAATCCAGTGCCTTAACCACCATACCACCTGCCAGTCCCTGTTTTACATTTTTCTTAGGCGAGGAAAACTGTTTATAGATTTAGATGGCCTTTAATACTCTGGGGATGAGGCGAACTTAAGCTGCTAGAGTAACGTTATCAGGTAGTATTAGCACCAACTATTTTAAGCCCCTGAGCACGTGGCCATCTCAGAAGCACTCCCACCATGCCACTTCTAGGGCAGAAATTCTGTGGCCTCTGGTAACTGGCCACAGCATCTGCAGGCCCTGAGTCTCCAGCTTCCCCTTTTTTTTTGAGAGATTTTCACTGTAGGGCGCGTGCGCTCGCCAGACAGACAGAGAGAGACATAGAGACAGAAAGCGAGAAATCACCCCCCAGGGGGGATGGTCACGCCGCAATCCCTTCTCCTCCATTCTCCTCTCGGGATCTTGGGCACGCACGCACCCGCGCCCGGCGTGGGTTTTAAGCCACCGGGTCCGGGATGTGAACCACGGTCGACTACGTGGGAGTCCAGCGACATAGCCATTACGCTAACTGCTGGTTCCCCAGCTTCCCCTTTTGATAACTCTCATTGACTGAGAGTTATCAAAAGGGGACCCGAATTTCCATGGACCCGAATTTCCATGCCCTCTGCATGTGCTCCTGTCACCAGTCCCCCAGTGAGGCACAGTTAATAGGAGATTATGACAGAAGAGAAAGGCCAGACCCTCAACTGTTACAAGGTTCTTTTCTGGGCGAGGAAGCCACATCATGCTGTCCCAGGAGCAGAGTGAGGTAGGGTGGGACGCGCAGACTCACATGATGTTGGCCTTGTGCACGGCCGTGACGTTGCTCCGGTGGTTGTTCCGGGCATACTCAAAGGCAAACTCAGCGATGCGCTTGCTGGCCTCCTCGGTGATGAGCTTGATGCTCTGCACGACGCCATCCACGATCTGAAAGACAGAAGTCCAGCCACTCTGGAAAGGGTGCGGTGACAGCGCGGTACTGGGTGGTGGTGGAGGTGCGCCGCTTCATTGATGGCATGCCCACACATGCCAGCTAGCACACGGCACGCCAATGTTAACCCAGCCCTGTGAGTAGTATCAGATGGCCACCTGTGAAGTGGGGATTCAAGACCCAGAGGGCATGTTCCCAGGCCCGGGTCCTCCTGGCACCCACTTGGGCAGTGTTAGTCAGAGACCCAGCACCAAGACAGACTCCCACATCTCCTCCCCAGTGGAAAACTATGTCTTTGGGAGATATTTCCAAGAGGGAATTGGAATAACTCTCCTGAGTGCACAGAAAGCAACCCATAGGAATAAAATATCCGAAGTGAACGTACCACATGCTCAATTCCACTGTATTCTCCTTCCGTGTTCTCTCGAATGGTGACGATATTTACATCAGTGTAAGGGGTTTTATAGCCTTCGATTGAGACGCACGGCCGGACATTTGCATAAAGGTCAAATGTTTTACGCAGTAATAAATTCATAGACGGATGACCAGCTGCTATTGGGGTCTTTAAAGGCCCTATAATGAAGAATACCCAGATGACAACATGATAGACTCTGGCCCCCCGTGTGGCCTACCAGCTGGGCTACCTTAGCACATATGCTCCGCCCCTGACTCCACCCTCTCCCTCAGATCCGATGGAGCAGGAAACTCTCCTCATGGAAGCTTCCTGGAAAATTAACTGCATCTCTCACCCTGAGAAGCTGCTAAGGACCAAGCATCTTATCAAGTGCTTGACATTGTGTAGTCCATATGGTCACCCTACGAGCTGGAACTCTATCACTATCAATTCAAAGGGAAAGAAAAAAGGGCACACGCCATGGCCTGGTGGTTAAGGGAACTGGATCCCACATGGCCAACCATGTGGTTCAAATCCCAATCCTGGAAACTTGAAAAACATGGCTCCGACAGCCCCATTGGGAGCTGCTTTCTTCCTTTCCCTCCCTCTCACTGTTTCTTTCTGGTGAGACATGTGCCCTTGGCAAAATTTTTTTAAAAAGACAACGTGTGTCTGTGAAAAAATTTTAAAAAAAAAAAAAAAAAAAAAAAAAAAGGAAGAAAGGGGAAATATAGGGTCAGAAATTTGCCTAAGCCTCCTGGGTGGTAAATAACATTTATGAGATGAAAACTGGATCTGTGTGTATGTTTTTTAAAGATTTTTGCTATATGGTGGTTGCACTCACTGGAAAGACAGACAGAAAGCAAGAAATCACCTCCCAGGGGGTGGCCATGCCACAATCCCTTCTCCTCCATTCTTCTTTTGGGATTTTAGGCATGCAAAATCCCAATCCTGGAAACTTGAAAAACATGGCTCCGACAGCCCCATTGGGAGCTGCTTTCTTCCTTTCCCTCCCTCTCACTGTTTCTTTCTGGTGAGACATGTGCCCTTGGCAAAATTTTTTTAAAAAGACAAAAAAAAAAAAAAAAAAAAAAAAAAAAAAAGAAAACAGGGGGGAAAAGAAGAG